CAAATTTCTTTCTCTCCCCAGCCTTCCGCTGCCATAAATATCAGATGGTGACCATTTTGGCTGAGAAAATACTGAGCATTCGATCGCTCAAATTACGTCTGCCCTGCTAAGTCTAAACTAAGTCTGAAAATTATTATTTTTATCAAGGCATCACTGTGAACCGATGCCGCTTCTCTCGTTGTCTTAAGCAACATTAGTGGACGAAATAAGGGAGACCTTGGCGCTTTTTCGTTCAAGTTAGCAGAATAGCGTTCACTATCTGAAACGTTTGCATAGACCGTCGAATTATGAAGAAAGATTCCAGCTCCCGCGGAATTATGTTAATAAACAAAGTAACTGACACTTCAAACTCTGGGAAATTACTCTGCGCAAATCATCAAGGTTTTCCATCGGAGAAATGCATTCAGAGAAGTAACATTTTACATCTTGTCGAGCATGTGGAAAGCATCAGGAGACTTTATCATCGATGGTGATCAAAATGAAGGTTTATTAGAGCTCTTGACTGAAAATCTAAAATCCCAAACTTCGAACTCGGCGAAAATGCGTGACCCATATGTCAATAATTACTTTAGACGCGCAATTGATACCTGACTAGGATCATCTTGTTACAGAATAGTGTCGGCATACCATGGTTCGTTCTATTGATAAATAGCTTCTTTGCGTTGAACAAGGCGGTATTTATTCACTAAAAGTAGCTCAATCGATGTGAAGACTACAAAAGATATCTTGTGTAATGGAAGAAGGTTGGCTTGCAATCTTTCTATGTACTCTTTTCGTGTTTTCTGCCGAAGGTAAGGAGTTAGAGACCATTGTATGCTCATATGTTTGAACAAAACTAAAGTTATGATCTTATTAGGTAGAAATTACCAAGGAGCTAAGAATATGCTATTTCTATGCAAAATTAGTTGTTTATTTCTGACAATGAAAGCTAGATGAAGCCTGGATACGTATCCGTATTTAAGAATGTGTAAGTTCAACATGGTCGTCAACAAACGAGTCAGAATTGAAATGAACATGTCCCAGTGGACATATCAACAACGACTTAATATAAAGAAAGACACCCTGCCAATTCCAACCTTGTATCGTGTTTTCGTGGTGCGAGGCTTGATGAAGAAAGCAGTGACAATCACGAAAAAAAAACAGTATATTTGAGTTAAAGATGAACAACCCAACAGGAAATGTTCATGTAGTTGTACAGAAAACCTGGAAATTCAACGCAATAGTGAAAGTGATTTCCTCATGATAAAACAGTGTCAGTGAAAGTCGAGGCCTCGCGTATCACATAGAGACCAAACAGTAACCTTTTTGTCCTGTTCGTGTCACTCCTTTACGAATATGAGATGTTGTGCTACATCCGTCGATCAAGACTTCCGTGTTTCCTCCTGATAATTACTTGGATTGAAACAATAGTTTACTGATGTTTCAAATGATGACGGCGCTTTCTGATACAAGTTAGCTATGCAATGAGCTANTTAGAAAAAAAAAACTGCCATTTCTTCCTTTTCTGGTTTGTGCAAAAACTCTCTCCATTATAAAAATACCCCATTAAAGAGCAATGCCGTGTTAAAGCCGAAACATTTTCATCGCTTGTATTATTAGGTGTGCCGTCGTTTACTACAAAGCCTCAAAAAACATTCCATGCCGTGCAAGGTGAAAATATTACCCTGGAATGGAAGTATACATTTAGCAAAGGGGAGTCATTCCGTCAGGCGTTATTCGTAATGGGTAACCTTCAGGTTGCGGACAAACACGCTGTCGATAGCACACCCTGGATAAGAAACGCGTACAGAGGTCGTTTATACGTGAACATAACAAACCATTACACATCAATTACTCTCCTTCGAGTGAAGAGAGCAGACAAGGGAAGCTACGCGTTAGAAGTAATTACTAACCCAGATAGAGATAGAAATTCAAGTACAGTGGAGATCTCAGTCCTGTGTAAGTTATTATTTGTAAGTAATAATTTGAACGTTGAGCATATTCGTCCGCTTTAGACTGGTTTGACCCACCATTCAGCCTGCTTGGGGAGAGCCCCCATTTAGGGAGCCGTCATTCACCATAGAGACCAACGTCTCTGTATAAATTAGGCCCCACCTGCTCATCGTACGGTGTTTGTGAGGGGAAATTGATATTATTTTCAACATAACCCACAGTGTAAGGCCCAGGAAGTGGCATGCATGGCCTGGTGACAGATATGATAGGCAAGAGGATACGCCGAGCACACTTAACCGGCTAAAAAATTGAAAAAAAAAAAACTAGTTGGTTGTTTTTCACTTAATCAATTACGGCATTATCTTCAAAGTTCATATTGGAAAGCTTAGACATCAAAAAAAAAAAAATGAAAAAAATCAGTATCTTTGTAAGGTAGTAATGCTCTTATTCGACATTTGTTTGATTGTATTTCAAAGATGTTGCATCTTAATTTTCTGTATTTCTTGCTAATAATCACAGATTTAGATTTACCAAATATTTCTTCAACGGATACCAGACCAGTGGAGGGATCTGACGTGACTTTGTCTTGTAATGTTAGTGGGGAACCAATGCCGACGATAAGTTGGACAATGAATGGATCTCCCTTGGATACAAGTGATAATTCTAGGATTTCTTTCATGGAGGACAACAAGAACCTGATCATAGCGAACGTAAACAGAAGAGACAGCGGAGAATACCAATGTGTGGCAAATAACAGTCTTGGAAATGTTTCTTCCAATACTAGTACACTGAGTGTCCAATGTAAGAAAACTTTTTGTCCTTCTTTTTTTTTTTTTCTTATGAATTTTATCGTATTGAAATAGATGAATAAATTATTTGCTCGATTTTGATATGTTTCTAATCTTTAATCCTAGTTTACCTATTTTTTTAAATCATTGATTAAAAAAGCATTGACTTTGTAACTCCCACGCAGTGGTTACTTGCCTCTTTTGTAAATGCTCCCAAGTAACCGGGAAAGTGCGCATTTTGGTAATGTAGTATCAAACAACAAACAATGACATTTTAGTAAATGAGTATGGGGAACAATTTCAGTAATCCATGTAACAAGCCCCCAGGTGAACCCCATGCCAATTGAAGTAGCCTTACTCAGATCACTCTGATGCATGGCACTTCATTGAGGATGGTTTTTTTTTCCTCACAGCAAATCAGCTGAGTACTGTTTAATGAAAGTCATGTCTGAAGATATTGTTGGTGTTTTTCAGACCACCCAGCGGTCGCCCTTAATCCCCTGAATGCAGCAAAAGCGGAAGGAGAAAATATCACTTGGTCTTGTAACGCCTCAGGAAATCCAGAGCCAACTATATCATGGATTTTCAACGCGTCTCTTACGAAGACGAATAGCAATCCTAGGATTGTTTTTTCTAGAGACAGACAGAAAATGACGATAACAATCCTTAGCAGGAAAGACAGCGGAGAATACCAATGTATTGCGATTAATAACCTCGGAAATGCTTCTTCTCAAGTCGCTTCACTAGATGTGACGTGTAAGTAAGATGTGTGGTGAGGGAGACAGAGAAAAGATTTATCTTTAGATTTTAAGAAGGAATGAAAATGTCTTAAATGAAGTGATAAACAACTAGCCCAGGACCGGGATGCCTGGACAGCTCTTGTAGAGGGCATATGCTCCAACAGGGGCCAAAGGCAATGATGGTGATGATGAAATGCCTTGTAAGATATCCTTATTAAAAGTAAGGAGATTGAAAATTATTTGCGACCGAAACTAATGATTTGAACCAGTGAGTGTCAAGAGTCATTAATTTTTACTTTCTACTCAAAAGTAGACTAATAATGATTAGGTTTTCATCGCTGGCGCCCACAATACGAAAAATAAACCGGAGCAAATATTCCAGCACACCTGTTCTACGAAGGTAATGGTGTTGTTTGCTCTCCACATAACACCTTAAACTTGCGGATTTTTTCCTGTTACAGACATACCAGAGATCACTGTTCACCCGAAAAATGTAACTAAAAAAGAAGGAGAAAATGCCACCTTAAATTGTAACGCCATGGGAAATCCTGTACCAAAAATATCATGGAATAAGGGAGGATCACCTCTTGGTAACACCTCCAGTATTAGTTTGTCAGCGGATAACAAGGACCTTACCATAAAGAATGTGAACAGAGTAGACAGCGGTGAATACCGATGTGTGGCCACCAACAGCCTTGGAAATGATACATCCAATCCTGCTTACCTAGGAGTGCAATGTAAGTGGAATATTTAAATCGCTTTGTCATAGCTATATTGCTATAAAATTAGATGTTACTTCAGATTTTGATGACGTCTAATTGGATGTGTTCATTTGACATGGGAAATATGTCGGAGAGCTTTTGATGCTAAATGCTAAACCCATGTGAAAACGTTTCAAGTTGATCACATTTGTCTTTGTCACGCATTCCTCATTAGCTATTCCGACGTATGGTATATACTAAAATAACTATTCACCTTCGTGTCGTTGAAAGTGATTCGGCAAATATCTACCGCTAACCCTACGCAATATCAATCTAACAATCGCATTCTCCACCATTCTGTATTCTGGTCCTTCTTAGACTTCTAAGGAACAGATTAGAGACGCCTTCTCTTTTTCGAAGCACCCGACAATACTACTTTCTTTTAATTTAAAATAATCTGCTGCTTATTTTGCTTGTCTTTTATGGACGAGTGTAGTTAAACCCGAGATA